ATACAAGTAGTCCTCACTTAACAACCATTCATTCAGTAATCATTCAAAGTTATGGCAGCACTGAACAAATAGTACTTATGCTGCAGCACCCCCACAGTCACATGATCAAAATTCAGGTGCTTGGCAGCCTGCCCGCACCTAGGACTGCAGGGGCACTTCTTCCAGCACCACCACCCTGTCTCTGCCCTTTTGGCTGCCCTGCACACCACCACCTCTGCTGGCCTGTCACCCCCAACTGACATTCACTGTCTTCTTCTACTACGGACAAGATGCGCCTGGCCTGGCCCTATGTAAGGCAGCTGCTGACCACACCAGGCCTTCTTCCTGAGGCCACGCGTGTCCTCCAAATCGCACGCAGCCTTCTCGCGATGCTTCAGAAGACTTCTGAGGCTTTCCCAAAGCTCGCGAGAAAGGTACACCTGCCCTTTTCCAACTTGCATACATGCTTCTCCAAATTGTTCATGTTCTTCTCATGACTTGGAGAAGCACACATGCAACTTGGAAAAGGGCAGGCACAGCCTTCTCATGAGCTTTTGGAAGGCCTCAGAAGCCTTCTGAAGCATCACAAGAAAGCCACATGCAATTTGGAGACGCATGTGCATAACTTGGAGAAGGGTGGATGAACAAGATTCCCACTGTCCCTACCTACTGTCTAGTGAAACCACAGCCAGGGGAATGGGCTTGGTGGACTCAACGGGGAAAGAAGATCCTGTTGAGCTTGATTCTAGTCTAGCCCTGTGAAGAGACATCAGAGGCATAGAATAAGTGGGAGGCCTGCCCAGGCCGCTAGTGAAATACCACTATTCTGATCGTTTTTTCACTTACCTGATGAGGTGGGGGGCAAGCCCCAAGGGCTCTCGCTTCTGGCTTCAAGCACCTGGTGCGGGCCAGGCACAACCTGCTCCAGGGACTGCATCAGGTGGGGAGTTTGACTGGGGCAGTACCTCTGCCACACCATAAAGCATGTGTCCTAAGGGGATTTCAGGGAGGACAGAAACCTCCCGCAGAGCAGAAGGGCAAAAGTTCACTTGATCTTGATTTTCAGTACGAATATAGACTGTGAAAGCGGGGCCTCACCATCCTTCTAAGCATTAGAGAGCTTCAGAATTACAAGTTTGAAAATGCCGGGTGAGCCTATCTTTAATCCTGAATGGAAAAAAAACTTTAATTATAACCGTAC